AAAAAAGATGTAAATTTTTTTTAAAAAAGATCGATTCTGTGTAAACTTTCCCTTAGCTTTTTAATAATAGTGGTCATGTACCATAATTATTCTCTGATGACTAACTCATGTCATTTAGCATAATTTGTTCTAGATTTATCCAGGTTGTACAGTATTTCACGAATTCTCGAACACTTTTTAGTGATGCATAATATTTCATTGAGTGAATATCCCATTGTTTCTTAAGCCATTTGTCTACTGATGTACACTTGAGTTGTTTCCAAACTCTTTGGTATTGTAAATAATATTTCAAGGGGGGAGGTGCTGTGTGTGTTAATCTGTGCCGCTGCTCTTATTTCTTTGACATATATTCCTGGTAGTGCATCAAATTCTATTTCTACTTACAACTTTCAAAGGAAACACCAAATTGCTTTCCATAGCTATTGACTAACAATATATGAGAGTTCCCGTCTCTTTATACCTTCACCAGCATTCGTTGTTTGTCATCTTATTAAATGTTGCTATTATTACTGGAGTGAGATATTCCATTATCATTTTGATTTGCATCTCTACTGGCTTAGTGAGAAGAAACTGTGCTACAATCCCAAAGCCTGGTGATTTGAACTACTAGCTGCTCCACAGATGAATGGGTAATCTCCTGCCATAGGATTTACTGCCTCTGAAAACCTGCTGGAGGGTAATCTATGGGTTAGTTCCAACTCAAAGGCACACAATGACAATATGTTCCAGAGAGCTTTGGTGACCTAGTGGGTAAGGAGTTGTGCTGCCAACCCAAAGACAGGCAGTTTGAATCCACCAACCTTTCCATGGGAAAAAGATGTGAAATCTCCTCCCATGCAATCTGTAGCCTCTGAGAACTCAATAAAGGTCAGCTATGAGTCGGTTCTGACTTCATTATGCGCATGAGTATGAGTAATAGCTAATGATCTTGAGCATTTTTTTTTTCATTTATTTGTTGGCCATCTGGGTATCTTCACTGGTGAGGTGTCATAGACCTTGACTATTTTATAATTTGCCTTGTTTTTCTTTTTCTTGCTAAAGTACTAGAGATTTCTGTAAATGTGAAGATGAATCTCTCTTGTTAGATGTGTCATTGACAATTAGCTTTTTTCCTAGTCTACCTACAGGTTGGATGTTTACCTTTTGGAGACATCCTTTCATACACACAAGAATTTCATTTTTAGGAGGCCCAATGCACCTAGTTTATCCTCTGCTGATTGTGCATTTGCAGTTATATTTGATCAAATGCCATTGATTAGGGCTCCTACATTTGTTTCCAATTTTTCTTTGATAATCTTCATACTTTCAGTTTCTATACATAGGTCCTTAATCCATCTTGAGTTAATTTTTGTATAGGCTATAAAGTATGGATCTTGACTCTACAAACAGATATCCAACTTTGCCAGCATCATTTGCCAAAGATGCTGTCTTTCCCCGCACACTAGATTTAGCACTTTATTGAAGATCAGTTGTCCATAAGTAGATGGGTTTATTTCTGAGGTCTCAATTCTGTTCCATTGGTTGATGTACTTGTAACTGTGCCAATAACAAGTGATTTAGATAACTGTGGTTGTATAATAGGTTTTGTGATCAGGAAATTTAAGTCTCCTACTGTGGTTTGATTCTTCAGTATAGCTCTGCTTATCCAGGGTCTCTTTCTTTTCCATATGATATTAATATTTATTTTTTTCTATCTCTTTGAAAAATCATGACAGGATCTAGATTGGGATTGCATTGTATTTGTAGACTGCTTTTGGTAGCATTGTCATTTTCACAATGATAAGTCTTCTGATCCATGAGCATGTTTTCCCATGTATGTTTGGGGTTTCTTACAGTATTAGTGTATTTGTAGTATTCTTTGTATAGTTCTTCTGTATCTTTCATTAGATTTTTTCCTAAATAAAAAAAAAATCATCTTTCCTTTTTTTCCTTCTCAGAATTCTCCTTGTTATTGTAGAGGAAATAATTCATGTTTGTATATTAATTTTGTACCCTGCTGCTTTACTGAATCAATTGTTCTTGTTGATTGCCTTCGAGTTGAGCACAACTTATAGCGACCCTATAAACAAAAGGCCTGAAGCCTTTCTAGAACTATAGACATTTATCAACGTTCATAGATCCAATAAAATAATAGAAATAGTCCAGTAATAATCTTGCTGAACCTTTGGGATTTTGTATATATAGGTTTATATCATCTTCAAATAGAAATACTGTTAACTTCCTTTTTGCCAATTCAGTTGTCTTATATTTCCTTTTCTTGCCTTATTTCTCTGGCAAGGACTCATACAATTTCAAATAGGAATAATGATAAAGTACAACCTTGCCTGCTTCCTATTGGAAAGGGGACTTCTTTCAGTCTCTCTCCATTAAGAGTAATGTTAACTATTAGTTTTGCATACACATTTTAAGTATGTTGAGGAATTTCTTTTTCATTCCAATTTTATTCAGCATATTTGTCAGGAAAGGGTGTTGAATTTTGTCAAATGTCTTTTCTGCATCAAAATCACACACAATTTCTATGCAGAAGTAGGACTCTACTAAAATCAACTCCTGACAACAGTCTGAATATGCAATAATTTGTTCCAGGAAGGGAAATCTCGTGGCCTAGTGGTAAGAAACTACACTGCAATCTCAAAGGCACATGGTTCGAATCTACCAGAAGCTCCACAGGAGAAGGATGACAATCTCCTCCCATGTCATGAAGAGCCTCTGAAAACCCACTGGAGGGTCAGTTATGGGGCGGCTCCAACTCAATGGTACTCAACAAAAACAACAGTACACACAATGTTGTTGTTGCTGTTGTTACAGAATCTGAACCAAGTCATAGCTGACCCTCTAGTGGGTTTTCAAAAGCAGTAAACTTCATGACAGGGGATTGCCCATCCTTCTTCAGAGCGACCAGTGGATTTTAACATGCCTTTGAAATTGCAGCTCAGCTTCTAACCACTAGACCACCAGAGCTCCTGATGTGGTGGGTATACTGGTTGTTTTTCTAATGCTGAACTATCCTTGCATGCCTGGTCCCCACTTGGGGAATCCCACTTGGTCATGATGAATGATTTTTTTTATTGTTGATTTTTTTTTTATGTTGGAGTATTATACTGACTAGGATTTTGTTGAGGATATCTGCGCATTAGGGATGTTGTTGCTGCTGTGTGCTGTTGAGTCAGAACCTACTCATAGCTGACCCTCCAGGAGATTTTTAGAGGCTTTCAACCATACAGGAAGGAATTGTCCATTTTTCTCCAGCACAACAGCTGGTAGATTCAAACATGTGTCATAGGGTTGACAGCAGAACTCCTAGACCCCATAAGGTTATTGGTCTACAATTTTCTTTTTTAGTGGTGAATTTGCCTGGCTTACACTTCTTTCATAAATGAGTTTGGGAGTATTGCATTTTTCTATGTTCTTGATATTTTGAGTAAAACTGGTGTTAATTCTTCTCTGAAAGTGTGGTAGAATTCACCAGTAAAGCCATCTGGGCTAGGACTTTTTGTTGTTGTTAAGAATGTTTTTATGCTTTGTTCAGGTTATTATTTTGTGATGGATGGATTCAAATTTTCAACCTCCATAGGCAAAAATTTGCCCACTTCCTCTAGGTTTTCAAATTTGTTAGATCACAGATCTCAACTTAGTGTGCTATTATCCTTTTCCATTTGGTTCTGCTGCGACATATTCATTTCATTCCTTATTTGTGCATTCTCCTTTTCCTTTATTAATTCTTTCCATTAGTTGTTTTCTAGTTCATTTCTTCATGTTCTTATCTTTATTATTTCCTTTCTTCTGGAGACTGAGCTGTGTGGTGCACTGCATCACTTGCTACTTTGTTAATTTGTAATGTTACACCTCTTGCCTTTTGGTGAGTGTGATAGAGTTATGGTGGGGGACTGTTTGTGTAGAGTAGTTGAGGGCGTAGTGGGTCAGTGTTTATGTGGAATAGTTGAGGACCAAATGAGCCACTGGGTCAGTGTTTGTGTAGAGTAGCTGAGGACCAAATGGGCCATCTTTCATTGATCAAGTGGAGAATGAGCCAGTCTTGAATGTAGTCCAAAGCCCCACACCAAGTAGAAAGCTATTAAAAATTGCTAAGTTGCACTGTTTATGGTTATGTATTCCATCTTTCTCCTCACTCAATGTTTTCATTCAGTTTCTTCCTTCAGTTAGTGTTAAAAATATTTCTTTGGATTTTCTTTCAAAATTGTAGGCTCCAAGAGTGATCTGTATCTGTTATCTTTGTTTCTCAGTGTCTTCATTGTAGACAGTCTTAACTGCCATCTGTCTAATCCATCACCTTATCCAGAAGTCAGTGTTCATAAACTCTTATCTCCTAAGAATTATCTGAAGAAAAAGGAATAAGGATAACGCTCCCCTTATAGACTATAATTATTTTTTTATAGACTGCAATTTCATCCAAACTTCTTCTGTTCTTTTATCATCTATCAGGAAGATGCACATCTTACGATACATGTGGAAGATATGAGCTTCTGCAAGTTTTCCTTTTAGAAAGTAAAATTCTGTCTTCTCTAACTTTCCAAAAATCTGAATTTAGCCCTGAGAAGCACTGTGTGCACTTAGAAAAAAATGTATTCATAGCAACCTTTATTTAGTAGTCATTCCAAAGTTTTCTACAACTCTGCAGAAACCAGTCTAGGATCTTGTGCAACAATAAAGAGGAAAAGAGTCAACAAAATAAATATCTTAACATGTACAGTAACAAGCATGACTCTCAGGTTTATTATGTTTGCAACCTGAGAGGGAAAATAAGAACCAGGGTATTCCTGTCATGCACATAAACACACACTTCCCTTTAATTCAGTGGATAAATGAAAAGTTTGAGTTCTCAGCACAAGAAGGAAAGAACAGAGCAAATCCCATCAGACATCACTCATGTTCAAAAACATTTGAAGATCACTGTCTTACCTTTAGCACTCGATAAGCCTCCTGCAGCACTCTTTGCTTATCAGGTACAAGATTAATAACACAATTTGATCTGAAAAGAAGAGACAGGATGTCAAAGAAATCCATAGGCTTTGTTTGTGTCTAACAACCAAAATTTTTTATTGTGACTTATGGTGACCTCACATACTTCAGAATAGAACCATAAGGTTTCCAGTGGCTGATTTTTCAGAAGTGGATGAAATTATCTTTCTTCTTTGCTGCCCCTGGTGGTCTTTTACCTCCAACCTTCTGGCTAGGAGCTAAGTTCACTAACCTTTTGCCCCACAAAGGGCCTCTGCACACTACACAGAAATCTACACTTACAGTCTCTAAAGATCACGCCAATCATTTTCAAGTCACCAGGCTTCTTGCCTCCCCTCCTCTTACACTCACTTTTCCCAGTTAAGGGAGCTGAGGGGAGTGTTTAAAATATCAACAAAATTTCTAGCAAATTTGAGGGCAGAAGAAGAAGAAGAAATTAGATAGGATTCTTATTTATTTGCCCTGATAATCATCGTGTAACTAGATGCAACGTGGCACCTCATGCACAAAAGCATTTCTATGCCACATGTAAATATGCTAAGTTTCTGAGAAATAGTTTTACTAAGGCTGTCATTTGAGAATGATTTGACAATTCAGAAGGAAAAAGAGAAACAAAGAATCCCAGAATTTCCCATTAAAATAAAATCAAAGATAACAAATCAGTATGTGTTATATGAGTAAGCTCTGAGGTTTTTGGGATCAATTGTTTATTGTTAAATTTAAACTCTCTCTTACACTAGTGTGTTCTGCCACTGAGGTGGCTCAGACCGTTTCCTTTCCTTTACCTAGAAATGTTAAATGTAGTTTTAACAATATAAATGAGAGTTAATTCAGCAAAAACACACTAATACCTGTATGTTCAACAAGAAACAGGCTGTTTATTACAGTAAGGAGATATACCTACATGACAATATCGTAACTCTCATTCTTGATTCCAGCCTCTCCAAGCTTCTCTATGTAGCCATGAATAAAAGTCACATTAGGTGCCTGGAAGCCATACTTTTCCATGTGATAGACAATGTGTTTTTTTGCCACTTCTACCTGAGAGAAGAAAAGTGTAGATTTGACACTCAATTTATTCTTTTATGCTAACTTTCCCTTTAACCAAAGTTGTTATTGTTGATTGTCATCAAGTCGAGCACGACTCATAGTGATGACCCTATGAATAAAAAGCCTGAAGCCTTTCTATAACTATCAACATTTATCAAAGCTCATAGAGTTACCAGAGGCATGTTGTTACCCAATAATCAATTACTTTTTAATCTACTCTTTTTCCTCCCATAATTGTCCTCTTACTAGTAGAGGAAGTGCAGCCAAGGTTGCTACTTAGAAGCAAAGATGGTGAGACTTTGTCTCACATACTTTGACCGTATTATCAGGAGGGGCCAGTATTTAGAAAAAGACGTCATGCTGGAATAGGTGGAGGGTCAGAGAAACAGAGGAAGACTCTCAACAAGATGGACGGACACAGTGACTATTATAACAATGAACTCAAACAGGTCAGAGGTCATGAAAACACTCAAACAGGTCAGAGGTCATGAGAACAGCACATGACAGGCAAGGCTTTGGTCTGTTATTTGTAGTCTGACTCTAAGGCACCTAACAGCAATAATAACAACAACTAAAAAGTATACTTTTCCTAGCTGTTTTGGCAACTATAGAAGATTCTTCTGATTATGCCATATAAACTATCGCCCGTGATGACTCAATCAAACATAAACTCCCGACTTGGTACATACGCACTGCTTGAACCAACTCCTAATTTAATAATGAAATCTCCAGGAGAGGTAACAGAAAAAGGGAAAGTTCAAAATCCATTAAGTCATGATGATATTCATATGTTAAATCAAATCTCTGACCAAGCATTCCTCGAGCAGAAACCCCACAATCATCTGAGTGCTCTGCTTACAGGACAGAAGCACCAGTTGTCAGGGGCCTGGCTAACTTGCAAAGCAAGATTAGCCCTGTACTGTAAAACCAGCAAGACTAATTCCATCTTGGCTAGAACATCTGCTCAGCAATAAACAACTCAAGGAAGCAGGATGTTAATGAATAAGAGTGATCAAAGGTCTCAGACCTTAGGGAATGTTATTCACCGAAACTCTTTGTTTCTTAGAGTACTCAATAAGACATGCTGGAAAACATCTTTGTATTGTGCTGAGGTCTGTGAGAGTTAATGTTTGACCTGATAGTCAACATCTCGGAAGGAAAGAGATAATGCGATTGCTACTGCAGATGGTTTTCTAAAACCTATATATGCTTTTCTAAAATCAGTAAATTGACTATTCGTCATCAACGGGTAGTCTCTCTGCATCTTCACTTCATCCTCGTCCCTTCACTCGGCGGAATTGTTTCGATATATCGGGGCTGGATCCCGATAACCAGTGACACAGATGAACATTGCTAGATAGCAATCTGCTTAAATTATTCTTGAAGACTCACAGAAGAAACAATTTTACCTCTATAAGATTTCTTTGGGGATCTCCGTTGTCCTTATCATGGCCTCACCTGACTTTCTGTCATGTCTATGCCAGTGACGTGTCCCTTCTCTCCGACCAGCTGACTAAGTGCATAGCAATCTCTGCCACTTCCACTTCCCAGGTCTAAAATCCAGCAGTTTTCCAGACACTCGGGAATAACCAGCCCACAGCCATAATACCTGCACAATAGAAAAGCAAAGCAACACAAAAACAGGAATATTTTTCTTTCTTCTACTCATTCATATTTCTATTTGAGTGTTTAGTCTCCTCCACTCAACTGGAAATTCTGTGGAGGCAACAATTATAACCACTTCGTTTACCGATGTATTGATGGACAATGTGACGAGTACCAATTGGCATCCATTTAAATGAGTTATCCAAAACATAAAACAGTTGCTAAATAAAGAAATTATTAACTGAACATTTGGAAAAAATTCAGGCTGTGTAAGTCACAGTGGAGGAAATAATAAGATACAATTTCCTAGATGTGTTTACTGTGGGAAGTAAAACAAAAACATAGAAAACACTGTCCTTGATTTCTTGATAAAATAAGTGGTGTGAGTAGGATGTGATGCAGGCCTTTGGAGAAAGTGGGGAAAGACTTCATTAAGTGATAGGTAGGACCCTTGAGGCATTGAAAGATGGTCAGGATTTGGGTCAATTGAAAAGAGATCCTCTGGAATGTCAACTCTAAGGATAGTGATTGAACCCTGTGGGTGATGGGGGTGGGGTGTCACTGAAGGGTCTTAAGCAGGGCAGTAAAATTATCAATGCTGTCCTCTAGTTTTACAAATGTTACAGCAGGCTGGCCCTTTCCCCTCCAGGGGCTTCACAGGGCACTCTACCTCAAGGCCACCTCCTCGTGGACATTCTGCAGGGCTTCCCGGATATGCTTGGGAACGGGCCTTGCTGCTGTGACACAGGCGTTGGTCTTGAGGTCCACCGTTTTGCTCAGCACCTGCCCATAGTAGGTCTGGCCAGGACAGGGTGAGGGATGAGAGGGCTAAGAGTTAGTGGGAGCAGGTTGTCAGGAGAGTGAAGGCTCCCCTTACATCACCCTCCACCCGGACTGGGCCTGATGGGACTTTGTTCCCAGCAAAGTAAGGGGGCCTGGGTGGCAGGTGGCTGAGCCACTGCAGGCCCTCGCCAGCACGGGTCCTGCAGCCCTCACCTGCACGTCCTTCAGGGTCTCGAGATTCCGGAGGTCAGCCACTGGTGAGAAGGAATTAAAAGTAGGTAAATCGAGGGGGGTGGGGGGGGGTGTGCTGCAAGTGAAAGATCGGCCTGGGAGTGTGCCGCCAGAGTCGAGGGGTGGGAGGCAGAAGGGGACACTGCAGTCATGGCAGGAGAGGCAAATGTCTCATAGACAGTTGGGGGGATTGGGTAGGACACAGAACAGTCCCTCCCTGGCGTGATGGCCAGCTGGGGGAGGGGCTGTGGCCAGTCCTGGGGTGGGGGAAGGGATCAGGGGCGTGGGTGCACGCACTCACTCTCTCGGGGTCCCCTGACTGGTTTGGGTCTCCCACAGCCGGCTCTGTCCCAGGCTCCGCCCAGCCCCGAGGCAGGCTGGCCCTGCCCTTTGGCCCGTGGCCTCTGTGCTCGCTTCCACTGCTTCCTGCTTAGACCGGGAACTGGGGAAACCAACCTACCGGTTCCACCCGGACGCCCCAGAGAAGTGGGATCTCCTGACCTCACATCGCAGGCCCACCTGGGCCCGTTGAGGGCCCATCTGAGTGGTCTTGGTCGTCAGGCCATCCAAGCAGGGAGTGTTTATCCTTTCCCTCTGTTGCTTCTTTGTGATTTCTACTGTAACTTGTATCCTGAAATCGGTGAACACCCACATACATAATGTAGCTACACACACACACACACACACACACACACACACACACTTTTTGTTGGCATGAAATCACCTTTACTTAATCATTCTTTAAAGTTAGGTCTAGTGAGATGGTTTTTATTCAGTAGAACTCACCTTTTAAAAAAAAAATTGAGATTTTAACGAAAGTTTATAGAGAAGTTGGATTTCCATTCATTGATTGTTGCACATGTTCCTCCCTACCCACTTTGCCAGTTTGCTTTTCTATTGGAAAAAAAATTCTTTCATTGTTGCATAACCCCCACCCTCCAAGTTCACTTTTCTATGGAGCTCTTATTCTGAACTCTGGTCAAGCAAATAATACCTAATCATATATTCCTTTTAAACAGTTCTTTCCCTCATCTGTTTCAGTGTAGAGTACATTAACCCCCACGTCAGTCCTGTTTTATAACAGTGGCTTTATGCAGTATTTGTCTTTTTGTGACTGAGATATTTTACTCAGCATAATGTCCTCCAGGGTCACCCATTTTGTATAATATTTTATGAGTACCTTGTTTTTCAGTGTTGCATAGTATTCCATTGTGTGAATAGACCACAGTTTCTCTAACCATTCTTTTGTTGATGAGCACTTTGGTTGTTTCCATCTCTTTGATGTTGTGAACAAAGCAGCAATAACCATAGGTGTGCATATATCTGTTTGGGCTGCAGTTCTGGTTTCTTTGGGGTGTATTCCCAGTAGTGGAATGGCTGGGTCGAATAGTATTTCTATTTCCAACTTTTTAAGAAAGCGCTTTCGTTAGTGTATATTCCTATGGCAGCAGCATGTATTAAAACTTAGGGGGGGTGCTAAAAAAAGGGATACATTTTAAAAACTCCCAAAACCTAGAGCAGTTCTCTCGCTCGAGAACGCTTCCTTTTTGCCCTTTTTGCAGTTACTTCTTCCTTACTAACTTCTAAGTAGCCAGAGCTCTGTACCCCCTTCTCGTATTGTTCTTTGGTAGGTTTTTTGGTTTTGTTTTTTGAAGTTATTTTAGTGAAAGCTTACAAAGAAAATTGGTTTTCCATTCACTCATTCATACACACGTTATTGTAGCATGAATTGATGTGTAACATTTTATGCTCAAACGTCCCCCTTTCCTCCCTGTGATTCTCATGTCTGTTCAGCCTTTTATCCCACCCCTTCCTGCCTTCTGAGCTTTATCTCTGCGCAAGTATCACACTTTTGACTTTATGTGATTGGTTACTCACTCTAAGGAGTGAGTGTTTCTTAGTATTTATTATTGGTCACCTTATAGGCCTGTCTACTGTGTAGCTAAAAGCTGAGCCATGAGGGTGAGTTTTGCTCCAAGTTTAAAGGCTAATCAAGGGCCTGCCATAGTCTTAGGAGTCTCACCAGTCTCTATTGGACCAGCAAGCCTGACCATTGTCACTTGTATGTCTGAGTTTTGTTCTGCACCTCCATCTCCACTCTATATAGGATTTCTTCTATGATCCCTTCAGTCATCATCTAGTTCTGGTCATGAAGGTTGAGGTACTTGGGGCCTCTTGGTCCATTAGATTGACTGTTCCATGTGTCTTTTAGTTTCTTCCCTCTACTTTGTTTCAGTTAGGGTGAGACCAACAGATGAACCTTACACCACTGCTTACAAGCTTTGAAGGCCCCAGTTGCTACTCACCAACGTGAGATATAGAGGTGAGATATAGATATAGATATTGTGGACTATATTATGCCAACTGCCCTTGGTGTCCCCCAAGTCTATGGTCCCAAGGTCCCAGAACCAGTAACTCATTTCCTCCAGATGTTTTGTTATGATTAGGAAGCTTTGAATGCATTTCCCCTTTGGGATTTGCTATATATTTGGATGCTATTGTGGTTGTTATGTGCTGTCGAGTCACCTGCAACCCATAGCAACCGTATGTACAGCAGCTCTGAAGCCCGCCCTGTCCTGAGCGAGTCTCACTGATTCTAACACACCAACCTACATTGCCCCGGTTACAGTATCAATCCATTTCATCAGGGTCTTCCTCTCCTGTGCCGTCTCTCCACCCTTCTGAGCATGATGTCCTTCTCCAAGGACTGGTCCCTCCTGTCCACATGTCCACATGTACAATGTATGTGAGACAGAGCTTCAAAATCCTAGCCTCCAAGAAGAAACTTGGTTTTACCCTCTCCAAGACAAAACTATTTGTTTTCTTGGCAGTCCATGGTATGTTCAAGTCTCTTCTCCAGCACAATTCCATGGCATCAATTCTTCTTCTGTCATCCTTAGTCCAGCTCTCTGATGCATAGGAAGTAATTGCAAAGATCATGGCCTGGATTAGGCACACCTTAGTCTCTAAATTGACATCATTGCTTTTCAGTACTCTGGAGAGGTCTCTGATGGCAGATTTTTCCAATGCAATTCGTCTTTTGATTTCCTGGCTGCTGGTTTTATTGACTGTGGAGCCAAGCAAGCTGTAATTGTTAACAACCTCAATCTCCTCTCCATCTGTCATGGTGCTGCCAATTAGCCTAGTGGTGAGAATTTGTATCTTCTTGATGTTGAGCTTCAATCCATATTGAAGACTATAGTCCTTGACCTTCTACAGCAAGTGCTTCAGGTCCTCCTCAGTTTGAGCAAGCAAGGTTGTGTCATCTGCATAACGTAAGTTATTGATGAGTCTTCCTCCAATCCTGATGCCACATTCCTCCTCATAAAGCCCAGCTTCCCAGATGATCTGTTCTGCATATAGATTGAAACGGTATGGAGACAGGATGCATCCCTGGTGCACTCCATTCCTGATTTTGAAGCATTCAATGTTTTCTTGCTCCTTACTTACAGCATATACTAATATGAATGAAAGCTACATTGCATCAAACCTTTGTATGGTCATGACTGAGGTCCTTTTGCGTTATCCATATCTATCTTGCCTGTCTGTTTACATGTCTGCTGTTGATTTTGCAGGTGGATTCATTCTTACTGCCAAAGATGTTACATGCTACAGACTGCAACATACTACACCATCAGAGGGCCTTGGAGTTACTATTAAAACTCTCTCACTTAATTGCCAATTACCAATTGCATCATAACCAACCCATAGCTGACCCACCGGTGAGTTTCCAAGACTATAAACCACAAGAGAGGAGATTGTTCATTTTTCTCTCCTCCACTGGTGTATTCGAACTGCCTGTTTCTGGGTTGACAGTGCAACTCCCTACCCACTAGGCCCTAATAATCTAAAGGCTGTCGCTCTCTCGTGATTTACTCCACCCAGTGCTTCACAGGTGCTTCACCGGAGAAAGATGGGTAATCTCTCATGCAACTCCCAGTCTCTGAAAACCCACTGGAGGGTCAGCTATGAGTCAGTTCCAACTTCACAGCAATTCAGTGAAATAAATTGAGGAATAAAAGTAATCTGGTGGGTAAATTTTCATCTTTACTGATATTAATTATTTAACAACTAGAATGTCGTGTTTTTATGTTTTTTTTAACGCATTTAAACAATTCTTTTCCAAATATGTCTACAAGTTGGAATCTTTCCAAAGGTAAAAATGTGTTTTATAGATTTTTGGAAGCATAATACTATTGAAAACACTGTTAGTTTTCAAACTACTTTCTCCATAAAATGAGTGCCTTTAGAAAAACTCTTTTCTCATTCATTGCTAAAATGGCATCTTTCCTTAGAAGGAATTGGCCAGGTCAGAGGTTAAGGAAATGCTTTTACTTGTTCACTTGTGCCTCCATTATTATATTCTCTTCAGTCTGTGGTTTCTTTTCAATTATCATTTGATGATTCATAAATCCATTTAACCACACATAGATAAACTGCAAGAAAGCAAACCACCACTATCAGTTTGAACTATTCTGTCTTCCCTCAGGATGTCTGGTGTACAGGGCTGACAGCACATCAGACTGCTTATAACCATCACTGATTCTGATTGATTGGTCAGTGCCTCAGCTGTTGGGGTTTTGTTGTTTTAATATCACACTTCCTAAATCACAAGTATGCTCCGTGGACCTAATTAGTGCTTTCATATTGTCCTATTTTAAATACTAGCAAAAACTATTTTATTTCAAAATATAAACAAGAAACATAATTTTTTCATGTTTTCTCCCCTTAACTTCAGTCCCTTTAGAACCATCATACATCTCACTTTGAAAGCTACTGATCTGGCAATTTCGGTATAATTCAGAAACCCAGACTTTGGTTCTGTTTATGTCATGTTCTGAAGTCGCCTTTCCCATAGGACTAGCATTTAAGTAAAGTTTTAAATAAAACTCTTTAACAAATGCACAGATAGCAGAATTTCTTTCTAAAGGAGTATATTTGTTAGAATCCAAAAACTAACATAAGAATAAATGTTTGGAAACAGCACCCCCAACCCATGGAAGCATTCAAGAAGATGAATGATTGCTCACCGGAGATTCTGTAAGGGAATAAGGAGATACAACTTAGTCACTCAAATCTTTTGGTAGAATTTTTTAGTATTATGTTCAACATCAAAAATGGCAGGTGGCATCCTAGTTTCTAGTTTAAAAAAAGTAATGGAGAATTAGGGGAGCTCTGGTGGCCTAGTGGCAAGAAGCTGCACTGCAGTCCAAGAGATGCACGGTTTGAATCCACCAGCTGCTCTGTTGGAGAAGGAGGAACAATCTCCTCCTGTACCAGTCAGATCTGATTTGACAGTACACACACACACACAATATTAAAATTTTAAAAATATTTCTCGATCACATTTTTCTAAGATGTTGTTGTTGTTGTTATGTGCTGTTGAGTCAGAATCAACTCATAGCTGGCCCTCCAGCTGGTTTTCAAAGGCTACAAATAGCTCGGGGGGAGATTTTACCCAATCTTTCTCCCTTGGAGCAACTGGTGGATTCAAACTGCCTACCCTTGAGTTGGCATTGCAAATCCTTGCCCACTAAGTC